GGCAATGGAGCAATTCTTTTTAGGCAGCTGCTCGAGCAGCTGAGGAACTTGGTTTAATTTTCGACCCTGAACCACAACTCTGTCACCGAGTTGGAAACGTTCAGCATAAAGCTCATATAAAAGCCGCACAGATCACCTCACTTCTTCGGAAACATGCATGGGGTCTTCTTCAATAATATTGAAGACCTTGGCTTATCAAAGCGCCTGACTTTCGCTTTCCTCGGGTCGAATGGGCTGAAGTCGGAAACTGCGGGGTTCATCATGGCTTGCTAGGATGGTGTCTTCAACACCTTAGTCTACCGAAGTCGCGTGATTGGTATAGGGGTATGGGTATAGGGTTGTTCTGATTATTGGAGTCCTTGGTGGAATGATGCCCTCTCTACTCTCGAATCCCAAAATCATACCGGTTTGCCGCACTAAGGCAACTACGGTTGAAAAAAAAGTAATAATAATAATAACGCCGAACACTCGCATAAGACATGCCTGACAGTTTCATCTTCCTGTTCAAACATCCTGCACTAACACTAACCCTTCAATGGAGGTCTTTCTTTAGTTGACAGTGGCCAGTCAGAAAGCCAGATATTCCATCGGCGCCACCTTCACAGGGTCGCCCAGGGTAATCCTGTCAAGACTGCATCCTTTGATTCTATCCCATTTCTTTAGGGATTGAGCATGGGTGTGAGGTTTGTCTAGTTCCAAAGGCATCAGGCTGTACGTGTCCTGAAATTCTTAGTCCAGCCGCTTCTTTGGCTGAAGAGTTGGAAATGCGATTACCTTTACTTCTCTCGTACCCTTCAACCCACCTCAGGATAATGTTATCATATACCGAGGCTTTGCTTCAGACAGTAATGTTTGTAGAGTAGTAATTTCAGGAAATTGATTTCTATTCAAAAATAAACAAAAAAGTACATATGTTTTGGACTTTCTACAGGAACGATTCATAACTGACAACTTTTGATGTAGGTGTAGTTTATTCATATAATAATTTAAGCATTTCAGGTACTTACTGAGGTGATTCAATTATTATCTTCTGTGAGATATCATTAATGTACACTTGTGAATTCAGAAATTTGCCAAAGATAAACTTATCAACAACTAGTTTATTTGTACTTAACTATACTGCATAGCTGATTCGCTCAAATGTATATTTTTATTCTTAAGTTACTGTTTTTATTCAACTGAATTCATATTCCTGTTCATATCCACCCTAGTTTTTATTAGTTTTCAACTATCTCAGTTTGTTTCAATTTCTTCAGGTGAAATGTTATAATTTACTGTAACTATTTAAAAAGAGTCGAGTAGTAGAATTGATAAAGTGACCTCGCATTGTCTTCACATGAGTAAATAAAGTTTTGAATTTTCTTTTTTGAAGTAAATGCCAGTTGCTGAATTTGTATGGTTTCAGCCTTTTGAAGTTCACTTTTCTTGTTATACAGCAACTTTTCAAGAGTCTGGCTGTTTTATTCTGAAAAAAAATTCATAATAACTTTTTTGTACTTTCATAAAATAATTTTTTCGAAACGTTCTCATGGACCTAAGAGAATCCTTTCAATTCTTGAAGAAATCAAATCATCCAATTACGAAGAGTGAGCTTGGACTTTAGTCAAGTAGTTAATCAACTAAGTCATCACTAATTTATAATTATATGGTGTTTCAACAGTTAGTTTGAATAAGTTACTTGGTAGGTTGTGGTAAATTTCGTAATATACGAATATAAAAACTAATTCTAGAAATGTAATTAGGTCAGTTAAAATAATATATTCAATTCTTTTCTGTATATAATACTGTTTCTCTAAGCGATATGAATTAAAAGAAAAAAGTTATGATTGTTTCCTTTCTATTGGGATATATCCTTGGCTTGTTCTTCAAACAGTTGCGGTAAATCAATCTTTCTCAAAGTGGGCGATAGCCCCCCTTTGGGCGTTGAAGGCCTATAGGTGGGCAGTAAAGGGCACAGATAAGATTGAGGGCGTTAAAGCGGTTTAGGGGGGCGATGGCAAATTTTAAAATATTTTTTTGCTTTTAACACAAACTTTACCGCTCATTTACGCTTAACGCGCGTTTCCTCGTGTAACGCCATCTAGGGGACTAGGCAGTAACTATTTTCTGTACGATAGTTGTCAAACTGTACAATACTTGACGGTTAGCTTCGATGCAAAGGGAAAAGTTTCTAGTCTCCATTCTCGAAAGTACTAGGCCCTTCCGCTGCTTCATATAAAAGCGCGTGCGCCATTCAGCCAGTAATGTTTCCATTCAGTCGAGGAATCGGCAAGTCTTTGGTGGCGCAGAAACCCACGATAATACGTTAGTTAGGGAAGCTATGAATTATGCTGTAGACGACCCCTCCCGATATAGAAGGATCAGACACTGTCGAGTGAGGCCCTCATGTCCCCGTTGAAAGATGAACAATATCTTCATCCAAACACCCTAGCCAGGTAGGGGTCCACGTGAAGGGCGGTACTGATGTCTGAGGACATTAATGCTGTCATCCCATAAATCAGACTTGACCCGTTTGTCTTCCTGACGAACATCAGTCCAAAGGGTAAGGGAGCCAGGCTCCAACCTGTCCGAAACCAAGACAGCTGTCGGTAGCCAGTAATGTCATTCGACGAAATTACGAAAACAAGTGAAGTTAGTTAGCGACCAGCTGGGTAAAGTGCTGTATGTGCGGTGGTGAATACTGTGAGTGGTGTCATTAGCAAGTTTTTGATACTCGATTCTTTACTTCAGCATTTTTGAAAACAAAATTATGTAGGAAGTAAACAAGAAGAAACGGTAGTATAGCGCGGTATGTACCTTCTTTGTCAAAAAAAAATTTCAGATGAAGCGATGAAAACCTCAATGCTACAAGATCATTCAAATATTTATATAAATAAGACAAAAGTATGACTTATTTTCAAAAACTGGAAAAGAAACACTCAGCTCAGCCAACTATGTCAAAACTTTTTTCAACGGCTTCTAAGCAAGACGACGACGGATTCCGAGCTTCCTACAATATCTTCTTGCTAATTGCTCGAACAGGTAAACCTCACACTATTGGAGAGGATTTAATTTTACCGGCAATAAAAGAAGTAATAACTACTGTGCTCCATAAACATCGAAGAGTCATTGTGCAATCATCTAAAGACTTCTAAATTCTCAATTCAGTTAGATGAGTCCACTTTACCAACCAATGAAGCATTGTTGTTGTCATACGTGAGGTTGATTGAAAAAGAACTACTATTTGCCTGAAATTCAGAGACGGATACAAAAGGAGAAACCATATATAATAAACAGGAAAAATTTTGTGATGAGAAAGAAATTCCACTAAAGAATATTATATCAGCTGCTACGGACTCAAAAAATAAATTTACAGATGTGCTATGCTAGCTGTACATTGCGTCATTCCTAGGCAACATTTGGTTGCGAAAAATTGGAGTGAGCGCCTCTTTCAATCACTGCAATCACAGTCAATAAAATCCGAAACAGCTCTTCAAATGACAGATTATTTATTCAGCTTTGTGTTGCTAATAATGAAGATTTCAACCGATAGCTATTTCACACAGCAGTGCGTTGATTATCAAGAGGTAACTGTCTGACTCTAATTTACAATCTATTCGACTCTGTAATAGAGTTGTTGGAAAACAAAGACAAATAATTGCACGACAACCTCATCACTTCAAAGAATGATATTTGGTACCTGACAGACCTGTATACATTATTTGATGATGTCAATATCCAACTTCAAGGTAACTACTTGAATTTGATAAAAACAAAAAATGTCATTGCTGCTTTTGTAGTCAAATTGCTCTTATACAAGAATAATATCGGCAGATGTGAGTTTCCCAATTTGTTAGCAGTATCCTTCAACAACGATGACTTACTTGTTTACTGCCAACATTTGGAGAACCTCTACAGTGATTTCGCAGAACGATTCCCGGACATTTTGAAATTGGAAATACCGGGCTGGGTGTTGGATCCTTTTTTAAATGTCAACACAGCAGGATCACCCCAGCTGGAAGAAGAACTCATAGAACTGATAACAAACGAGGATATAAAAATTAAATTCAAAAATGGATACCAAGAATTTTGGCTACAAAAGCCAATCCCACAATTGTACCCTGGATTGTGGTCCATCGTTCAATGATTTTTGATAGCTATTTGTGTGAACGTGTATTTGGTGCTGTGGCAACGTTGCTAACTAAAAAGAAAAATCGGTTGCAGATTACCGAACGTGGTAACTAACGGCTGTAAGTTACCACGTTCGGTGTAAATTCGAGCCTGATATTAACGAACTTGTTAAAAATCATCAAATTCATCCTTCTCATTAGATTAGTTTTAAAATTCAAATTGAAATGTTTGTTTTAATAACATGAATAAAAGTTTTCCTAATATTACAAAATGGTGTTTTACATTATCCTCATCAGAAAGTCTTATTTTCACATGACACACATAATTCAATTATTAAAATAATGACTGCGATTGTGATTCTTAAGGTGCAGTAAAGTAAAAAAAATTGGAGGGCGCTAGGAAATAATTAATTCTCGAAGTGAGCGGTAGACAAAATAAATTTGAGAACCTCTGCGTTAAATGATGCATTTGTGGTATAGCAGGACGAAACAGCGCTGTCTGGTGTTGGCTGATGAAAATTTCATTTTGGGGCCCTTGCTTCATCGTGTTGAATAATTGAATATCAAAATCGAATGTTCACTTTGTGACCTCTTGTAGAAGTAGCAAGAAGAATCAGTGAAATCAAAAGGAATTAAAGTACACACATTTGGTGAGCTATTTCTTTGGCATGGCGGCTGGAAATCATCAATAGTGGCTAAAGGTTATTTGAAAAACTCTGCGGAATATGAGAAGGGTATTGGCAGCGAATGATTTCAATAATACATCAGATAATATTTTCCGCGTTTCCTGTCAAACAAACAGAATATTTGTTTGAAATTGTCAATGAAATTTCAGTTTAATTCATCAATAATGGAAATCTATCACTAGGAGTATTAACCGAAATGAATAAATGTTAATGTAAATGTAAATTTATTCTTAAACATCAAATACAATCAAAAGTGGACGAACAATAAAAAAAAATAAAAATTATTTATTCATTTAAAAACTTCGAAACAAATTCTATTAGATTCTAAAGAAGAAACAAAATAAAAATGTTTACATATTCAACTTTGATTGATAGTTCATAGTGATTCATAGAGACAATGATAATAAAAATAAATAGAAATCGTAGACGTGCTAAAAAAATTTTCAATTATACGTTTCAGATTGTCCATATTATATGCAATAATTTCTCCATTAAAAATCGCTCAGATGAATTCATAAATTTATGAAGTGTTAAATTCGATTAGTTCCAATAAAATGACGTCACCAAATCATGAACTGAAATGTCTTGAATTTTTCACACACCCACATAACTTATTTGTGACTGTTTCAGACTTTAGAGATTTCAAGGCATGTAGTTGTATAGATGAGGTTTCAAACTATGCAATGCTATTATTTTTCGGTAGAACATTCTTCTTCATTTCTTCTCTCTCGGGAAAAATATACTGGTAAGCTGGTTCTCCACCTTCTACCACCCACACGCTACCATTTGGGGCATATTTTACTACTTCCACAACCTCTTTGGCTGCTGTTTCTGGACTGAAAAAAATCAAATATTATGATCAAAACCAGTGCAGTATTAGTGAAGATGAATTCATTGAAAAACACTGAAGTTCTCCTTCTTATCAAATGAAATAATGATAAAAAAACTTTTGAAACAAGCTTTTATTTGAGTGCCCTACAAAGATCAAAATAAAATTTTGAATCACATTAACCACATTCATTTATGACTTTACAGAATTGAAATTATAATAAAAGCTTGTCGCAATGCCTAGAAGAAATATCTATATATTCAGTCAGATGCAATTTAAATTAAGAAACATTCTGACAGATCAACTAGGTACTGCAATAAATTTCAAACCCGATAAATCCTATGTGTGCAAAAAAGTTATTTAAGGTTAAAGTTCCACATTTTGAGCATTCACGGCACTTTTATTTGATTACAAACATTNGTCCATCCTCCATGTTTCGATGATTATGTGAGATCACGTTTGGGCTTTCCTAAAAATCGTCTAGTGGGATAGTGGGACTCTGACTTACTTGGGGGATCCTACTAATAATATCGCTCGTGTTTCAAAAGGCAAAGAATTGGACATAGCCTACAGAACAAATAATGCTTTGGGAACTTTCATTAAAAATAATAAATATACAACTTAATGTCAAATCGGTTCTGAGTATACAAATTGACTAGTGGTTGTTGTCCAAGATTTTATATCGGACAAACGGGAAAAACTTTTTCTGAAAGAATAAATGAGCATAGAAATAGTTTTCGAATGGAAACATCAATTCAATATTTGCAAGTCAAGTTGCAAGATTCCCACCTTGAAACCCGCGACAACCCTTTCCATATAAGGGTTTTTGCACGTCAGCTACACCTGACGATTCCATAAATTCACCCGTGCAGGGCTTTTTTGCCTCTGGTTTTGGTGAATCATCACTTGAGCGCAAACATTTGCTAACCTGCTCATGGAGGTTTGTTTCTCCACCTGAAACAGATTCTGCGTACGCCGCTCAAGAATTTGGTGCAAGGCGGTTTCACAAGTATCCCGCTCTTGAAGAGACGACTCAGTCGTTTCCTGGCTGCTCCACCAAACCTTATTTTTTCAGGTTCAGTTATTGGATCAAGAGTTGGAGAGTTGAGAAGCTCTCGCTCCTGATCTAAATTTACAGGGAGGTCAGTTGGAGTCGTAAACTCAACATCCATCTCCTCTGTAAACTCAGCGTCAGAAAGAATTTTTGAAATTACTATGTCCATAAAAGCCCCACAAGTAGCTAGGGAAAGAAAGTCAATCACGGCAGAGCCCCGCATTACCGTGACAAAGCGATGATACGACGAGAGACAGCTGATAGGCTCAGTGTCATTCATCCCCTCGGCACGGATACAAACACCTCAAGATCAAGCCATCGTTGTGATGTCATTTAGTTGGGGAATAACAGAGCTACAAGTGATTTGGCGCGATTTTGTTCCATCCTTTACATAAAAGAGGACGTATGCTTCTCCACTCACAAGCGACTTTGGTGAAATTGGTGACACGTGTGAATCGTTGCGAATGTATCATACTCCATCTCATATTTGATAATATTTCAAAATGTTTTCATGCAGCTACCTTATTTGTTTTTCAGGTCCACCATCTGGAATTTGAATGGACAGATGGAATTTTCGGAATGGCTCTGAGTCCCGTTCATCAGTACGATAAAGATAGGCTTTTGTACTTCCACCCGATGTCTAGCTTCAGGGAGTTTTCCGTAAAAACTTCCGTCTTATGCAATGAAACCGGTTGGTCTGAAATTAAGAACGCTTTCAGTGTTGTGGGCCAGAGCAGAGGGAAATCGGGCCACGTTTCTACTTCTCAAATTGACAGAAGAGGTAATAAAATTCAGAAGTGATGAATGTAACGAAATGTTGTCTTTGGTGTTTTTCAATATGTTCACCGTCTNTGGAGGGAAAGATTATATATTCTTAGAAACTGCAGCTGCATGAACAGTTGTTTGAGTTTGGTGAATAAGTAGGAAACATTCTAACATCATTGACACCTTGTTCTTGAAATTCTTCGTCATGTATAACACTTGTGAAATGCTATTCATGTCGCAAGTGTTTCCTGGATTATCTAATACAATTTTATTCTCCAGATTTTCGGAACAACTCTCTACTGATTCGTAAGAAAGAACATGTTTCACAGAGTCTGCATAAAAATCATTTCTGAAGCTGCACTCGATCCTTCCAAATGCTGAAGGGTTTCGTAGAGGCAGCGATTCGGCTCTTGCTTCATGGAGCTCTTCCACTGAAAAAAAACCAGAACCACTAGGACTGCAACTCATATTTGAGGGACAAGAATGACCTGAGTCCATTGACCGCACTGAAAAAGAAGAAGATGGATCAACCACTTGCCAATTAACCTTAATAGAAAGGACACTGATGAATATCCACATATCTCGGCTTGCTTCGAAGAGATTTTAGTTCCATGCTGAAATGAGGGCAAAACATGATCTCATCAAAATTATGTGAAGGAGGAATAGTTCCAAGGACTGAAGCAGCATTACCACGTTGAATAGCAATACTAATTCTTTTTATCAAAAAAGAGATAAAACGGTTATCTTTCGTTGCTTGGCCTATTCTTCTTCCGAGTTCATGAACAAATAACGGAGACTCCGGGCCATGAACACCAAAAGATAATTGGAACAGATAGTTGTTACCAAAATTTTGGTATTGTTTTGGTTTTAATTTTTCGCAATTCTGCAATTCCAGCAGACTTCGAACTTTCGGCTAGATGGGAAACCGCGACTGTGTCAACGCAAGTGAAGTCCCATACCACAGGTTTACCGTAGTTTTATGGTATGAGAGACATATCATCTGGTCGTTTTGCATCATCTCGACTGGTACCTAGGGGTTCCGGAATTGCAGGAACATCCGCTGACACCATAGCTCGTTTTAATATGTCGTTCACCTGGTGATGTCGAGATGTACGCCGTACACTTCTCCTGCAACTCGTCAACTATAGGTACTACCGCAAACACAATTATGAGGCACACAAATAGATAAACTCATCCTAAGTCCTACTGCTACTCTGAAAGATTCATCGTCTAATAGTGTTTCAAGAGATGTAATAGGTAAAGCATTTATAAAGCCAAGCACCCGATTCCTTGATCATTGTTGCTTTCAGACGATCTTATCGCATACACTTGTAGATTTCAGAAGTTTATCAACAGAGGTTATTTCCATGCACTTTGTATTTTCTTTTTATTTGTAGGAGCAATATTAGTTTCGGCATGCCAAAGTGATTCACCTTCAGCATTAAAAACGTCTTTGATATTGATAAATATGGAAGGAATGATGGAATCGATAAGATCAGAAACACTATTGACTGACGACAAAAAAGCTGGTAAAGCTAAGGAAGAAGCCGAACGTAGCCCTAGCCCGCCAAGGTTTACAGGAAGCGTTGCTTGAAGCCATGAATCATTATTGAAATGATTGTAACATATTCCGTCGTGTTGCGGAGTAAATTATCAAATTCGTCAAGCTCATCTGTCAGTCACCTCATTCTTCATTTATCATTTGTCGTCTGCCATCCGTCAAATGTGATCTGATAACTTGCGCTAGTATTCAAAGGATTTTCGTGCTATCTATGAAAAATTACCTATGATGTTATAATGAAAATCGACATCGAAACCGGATTCATCTGGGTCAACTATTTGACAAGTTAGTCAGGTCATAAGAGATGACTGGCAATTTGCCAGTCATCTCTGCCAATTTTTCATGTTTTGTGTCGTCTGTAATCCGTCAAATATGTCTGTTGACGTGCGCATGTTTTTGACATTTTTTGCACCATATATGAAAATATATTCATTTCGTCATAGTGAGAATTGTCATCAAATCCAGTTTTCATCAGGCTACTTCAACACCAGTCTCCCGCCTCAACATGATACTTTGACCAAGTCAGTAATGTCATATGACTTTTGCGATCTGCCAGTCATCTCTGTCCATTTTTTTTATTTCTTTTGTCGTCTTTCATCCATCAAATATCTCTGTAGACGTGCGCATCTCTTTGATAGTTTTCACACCTCCCATGAAATTGTATCTATGACGTCATAGTGAAAATCGTCATCGAACCCGGTTTCATCCGGTCATATGAAGTTTGCGATCCGCCAGTCTCCTCTTTCAATTTTTTATTTGATATTTGTCATCTGTCATACACCAACTAATTTCGACTGGTATTTTCTCTTTCTTCGGAAGCATTCCTGGCGAGGAAAAGGAAACACTTATTTAACTAATTGTGTTATATTAATACTGTCTTCCTTGAACTTGAAACAAGTGTTCAATCACTTATCAAGATTACTTCATTCACATAATAATTTTCCTTAGTTTCTTATTGTACTTTGTATTGAATTGTATTATTGTATTGTTGGAAACGAATGTTTGTGAATAAACTGCTACTTCTACATGTTTCAAATGTAGTCCATTCCCTTTTACCTTTTCCTCAAGTAAGAAATCCTTTCTTTTCTTTTTTTCTAGATGAAATCGTTTTTCTCATTTTTTTTCTTAATGAAGATTTCCTTTTGTTTCCACCTTTCCCTTTCAATGATATATCCCCAATATCTCAAGGATCATGTCATAGTTTTTTTTTATCAACGGCATCGAATAACCTCGTGTTCTGGATAGGCAATATTAATAACTCCCTGAGCCACCATGTTGGGAACCTGAGAAAATTGTACAAATGATAATTTTGCATTTGTGTAATATTCAAGTAACCCAGATCATTTGGACAATGATGAACTATGTTTCAAGTAGATTTTAAAAATTCATAGGATCGGCAGATGTTCATATTCGAATGTGACAAAATATATTTTCATTTCAACAAGGAAAAAGACAAGATGAAAAAACAGTTTTGTTATTCATGAACCATGGTATGAATCCATGCGAAATTTCTTTGCAGTGATTTTTGGGGCCAAATATAGTATATTAATTTATTGATTTGAGAATTCAAGATGGCGGACGAGTTTGCCGATTCGATTATATTAAAGGCCAATTATTAAAAATATTCCTAATCGAATTCATCACTCAAGATTTAAGAATCTGTAGAGCCTATTCTTTTTGAATTATGTAGTACTATTTAGGACGTGAAGAAGTAAAAAGTAATTGTGTAGTGTTCAACAAACAAATTTTTCAGTAGGTTAGGTGAAACCCATGAAATTGACAACTATGGAAGGGTTGCGGGCCTGTCTTGAACTCGTCGTTTGTGCAGACCTGAGACTGCAACTCTTGGGTCTGCGTGTAGAAAATTCAAACCAAAAATCACCCGAAGTGGGATTACTGTATATAGTATACTGTGTCATGGATATTCGCAGACCGTCAGCTATCTAAAGTTGCAGAAGCATCCCAACTTCAACTGGATAAACTCTGTCGAGGAAAATATCTGATCGTGAAGGGGATCGAACTCAAAATCTTTCCATTGTTAATTGTGCACACAACTACTGCGCAAATATACATTTGATTGTTATTGAGTATTATAAAAGAACTCAGTAAATGAATGACTTCATTTTCATTAATAAACAATTCAACGATATTTTTCTTTATTTTCAAGGAGTGATGTTCTACAACCTGGTGACCAGAGATTCTATAGGATGCTGGGACTTGAGAAAACCCTACAGGAGAGAAAATCTGGGCGTCGTTGCCAAGAGTAGTGAAACTCTCGTATTTCCGAACGACATGAAAATAGACCAGAACCGCAGACAAAGTGTATGGGTTTTAACCAACCGATTGCCATTTTATCTGTACGAAGGGCTGGATGAAGATAAAGTCAACTTCAGGGTTATGTCTGCATTCGTCGATGAAGCTGTTCAAAACACAATTTGCGATCCCAACGTCAGTGTTTATCGGGCTTATCAGGAGTTTTCAGGAGATGATGAATGTTATTAGTTTCTCGATGAATTTGATGAATGGTTTATGATTTTCGTGTAACAGAACTGCGAAATACTTTTCTTGGTGTACTATGATCAAATTGGCACCCTACCCAAATTTGAAAACTGAAGTTACAAAACAGTATATATGAAAAATGAGAAATGAAACTCTCTATGTTTTTACCACTTACATTTGTAACTAATGTTACTGCAGTTTCGTCATATAAGGTCATTTTCAAACTTATACATTGAACCAAAAATGATTGATTATAATAGCCCTCATATAACACCACTGTAGGTGATAACAGAGGAACTTTACTCAATTGAGTACCTGATTTTTTTTTATCGGTGACAATGTGGGTATGCTAATTTGAAAACCTGTGAGTGAATAGATCTATTTGATCATTTAACAGGTTGCACCCGCAATGCGTATGCTTATGAATTTCCGAAGATTTCAAATGATGGAGTTTGTAACCCTTCCTTGCATAGTGCAAAATTTCCGTATTGTTTAGAATCGGGAACTTGTGGTTGCATCCCAAGGAATGGTTTGAAAACGTCGAATATTTTTATTACCTAGTCTGAAGGACCTTTCATGTTCAGAATACCGTGAGACATTTTACCACATTGTCTCATATGAACACGGTTTTGGACTGCTTGGCCACTCGTCAGTGCAAGATAGTGACCATCGACCTAAAGTCAATGATTTTCCATAATTGAAAATCGAAATTCATTCAGAGTATTTCATTCCTCGTCTTGAGTTGGAGCGAACAAAAAAATTGTTACTCCATCTAGTGGACGAGAGTTTGCCATGACGGTTTTCAGATGTATTATAGATAGAAGTCTGCAACAAATTTTACTGATTACTTTCCTCTCTCTCTTGTCATTGCACATTCCGCGACGAATTTTTCGGGTGAGAGAAACTTTTCTTGTCTAAAAAAGACAAAAATTCATCTGAGATCGACCTTGAGCCAAGAAAAATTGAAAGCTTCAGCTCTTTTGTGCATAGAGTCAGAATTAATGAACGTGATTATCGATGATCGTCGATGATTTTGCCAAAAAAATCACGCAAAAAAGTATTGATTATTTTTAACTGTTTGCAAACGTAATTAAAATTATTCATTCACATTCACCAAATGTAGATTATTGTGTAAGTAGCATACATTACCCCGCTTTGATTAGCTCAAAAATATACCCAATCATTATTTTACATGCAATTTCACCGAAGTTGTTGAGTTATAAAAATAATATAGAACGTGACAAATCTAGAGGCAAGGCGGCAAAAACTGTACAGCCTACACTTTGAAATTTTGTAAATTCGCCACTGGACGAGGTACTAACCAACTGCATATCCAGTCTGCTACTGTGCCCGTTCCAAAATTGAAGGTTGACTCTCTTAGTTGTATTGCCAATTGCATATGCAGGAAATTTTTATGTGAAAATTCCTGCACTAACGCCTGTCGGATATAATCCAACGCCCTTCGTGGTATTAGCCAGGGGAGTAGTTGTTTTCTGATATGCGTCAGTCCATTCAACCTACTGTGTAGGTACATTCGAGACTGGCTTGAACGTTTAAAGTTCATTTCTTTAGATTTGTTTACTGCTTGTCTTCAAGCATAGCCCAATGATTAATAAGAAAATTTCTCAAAACGGTATGCTGAACATGAAAGGTTATTCAGACTAAGTAGTAAAAATGATTCGACGTTTTTAAACCATTCCTTAGAATGCAACCACAAGTTCCTGAATCTGAACAGAAATTTCGCACTATGCAAGCAAAGGCTAGATTCCTTGGCATTGCGGATGCAACCTGTTAAATGATCAAATCCATTCAATTCACTCACCGGTTTTCAAATTAGTGTATCGACTTCGTCACAAGTGAAAAAAATGCAGGTACTCGATTAAGTTGAGTACCCCTGTACCATTTTTAGTTTGCTGTATAAGTTTGAAAATGTCCTTATAGGACGCGACAACGTTAGTTACAAATAAAAGTGGTAAAAAACATAGAAAGTTTCATTTCTCATTTTTCATGATTATTTTCCATCACGTAGTAACGGCTACATCCATAAATTTACAGTCCATATTATTTTCCAAAATATTGGTTGGATATTCTTGGACTGAACTGAAGATCCAATTTTTTTATTGAATTCATACCCAAAACTTCACCCAGGCAACAGGTACCTCCATATTTTTCAATGACATAGCAAGCTAAATAATACATCGTTGGAGTAGTCTCTTATCTCTCTAAGCCTTATACATTTATAATTTTGTTCATTTGTTACCGAGAAATTCTGTTGAATATTTCATTCAAGAAAACATCAAGAAAAATTAACGAAAAACAACGACAATTGGAAAAAATACCATAAATATGCTTCACGAAATTCAGTAAAGAAATGAAGTATACTTATAAATTACATGATATTTGAACAAGGCTCCAGATTATATTTTCGTAGGACAGATGTCATAATTTTTTTTAATTTAGGCTTATATCTTGATGATAGTTGTGTCCAGAAGTGCATTTGTGGTTCAGTCTAACACCATTTATGAGACTTATGGTTTTTGAGCTCTGGTTTCGACTAATTGGACTCTGAAGACGAATCACCAACGGTGGTCAGTTCTGCTTCCCTGTCTGGATTGTTTAAAACAGTCTAAACATAGACACTCAACTGAATACTGAACTTGGTGCTAGATAGACTTTTCCAGTCCACAACAGCCATACTGATTTTGGACAATCCAAAACAGCCAAGTTTCACATTATTACCAGCATATATTATACTTGAAGATCGATGCATTTCTTCCATTTCAATGACTTCTGCTGATGATGAGATTATGGTTTGCACTAAGTACAAACTCAATATGCCCGACGAAGAAGATTTGGTTACAAGTCTTATTCAGATGCGTGCAATCTAGCAAAAGAAGCATTCATTCTCTTTTTCTGAGAAGAATGTAAATATGTTATTACTTGGACTCCAGTACTCTCGCTTGCAAAAGATTTTGCTTTCGGGAAGGGAAGTTAAAGAAATGGAGGAACAAATAAACGATATTCAGGATGCTCACAAAAAACTACCAGGCCAGTAACGTATAATAATATTGCGCATGAAGTTCATGATAAAATAGCAATATTAAATAACTTTACTAAAGAAACTTTGTTGGTAAAACGCGCATCAAGAATAGTATTGCATTTCTGGTGATTAGAAAAAGTGCTCGTTTTGCAAAGTATTTGAGACTTTACGAAACTCGTAGTTTTAAGCTCTTTTCAATTAGTGAGGCCTGGTTCAACGTGGATTTGAGCATGGAAAAAATTCAAATTAAGAACTATATCATGAGATATGATTACGTTCGAAATGAGGAAGTAGTAAAATATCCAGATGTGGGGGTCGTGATTGCCATTTGATATAATCTCCAGTCAAAGTCCATAAAGGTCTTAATATTTGGTTCTGTGCATTGCAATTATATCCGAAGAAGTTTATTCAGAACACTGCAGAGGAATATACTGAAAATCACCATTTACATATACTCTTTGGTGACTAGGTGACTAGGTGTATCTCTGTAGAGTAGGGAGGGTAAGTGTAGGCCCGCAGCACGTATGCCACATGTGACCCATTGTACATCCTCCCGAGGAGTTATCCTCCTAGGTCATCTTCCATCCTGTCCTTTCCAGGAAGGTGGACAGGTCACTAGGAG